TGAATAGGTTATCTTACACTGGCAGAAGTAAGAAGTTGGAATCACTGAGTAGTAGTTAGTAGTTAAAGTATTGTACCAAAATCACACCCTGACTAGGAAGGGAAGTACTAGACTGCTGTGCCTTATTAGTTGTGTCCACATGTATACAATTCCTACTATCTTCATTCTAAGCTACTATGTTCACTAACAACTCTCAGCCATTCTCTGTTACTGCTAGCTCCAAGTCCTACAAGTAGTAGTCCAGAAACCACCCATCCTCATTCTTAGAATGTCTCATTACTGCTTGTATCTTTGATATCTTCATAGTGCTAAGAACAAAGTTTCTCCCTTACAATCAATGTGAAGACCTCTAAAGCCTCATTCCTTTACTACTGAATTCACCCTTTAAGGACCTGCCTGTTAAGTACATAATGGTCTAGCTTGATACTATTACACTCTTACTTGTCAAGCAGCCTAGAAAGGAGGTTATTAGTGTTGCCTACATTCCCACACCTACCAACAACATTACACTCATTATTAGGCAAAATGGTTCACCTGACAGTCTTAATGAGGCAGAGAAGCACTTATAGGCTATCTGGACCACTCTTAAGAATGTACAGGCTACATGTAGCCCTGTAGGACATGAAGGTACCCCTAATGAGTTTGACATACCTACTAATGTATTGTCAAAACTCTTTCATTAGTACTATATTTTCTTACAGGAGTGCTTGAAGAGGCAGTTTGACAAGGCAAATGGCAATTTTATGTATAAGACTCTCACAAATGCAAGGAGGAATAAGGACACACCTCTACAAGGCAAGGAGAGAATACTACTATAGGATGTCTAGTAGGGACTCATTGACCTGATTATCCAGCTATTTGAAGCATACAACAGGTTTTTGTCAGAGGAGGGGTCTATTGTTAATATAATACAATTCTGTTTAGAGACAAACTACTGGTTGAATCAAGGCTTACAGGGGTGTGGTGAGTTCTTGGATAGTATATGTATGTAGTCCTCATTCAATACTTCCTTCTCTTCCTCTGTCATCTGGTTGGGCAATTTGGGTATATTGTTAGTTAAGCCCTACATTCAGGATAACTAACTCTACTACTTTTTCTTGTTCTGTTCCAACACTCTGGCAGTATACTTATTCTGCTTTGTTTGCTAGTTTCTTGTATGAGTTACTGACAGTTTTGTACAGTGAAGACATATGTCTTGGATCTGAGTCTTATCTGTTAAGGTGCAAGTTTTGAATACAGGCTTAAGAAAATCCTTATACTAGACTTGTACATATTCTAGCTCCTTGTCCTCACACACTTGTCCTTGTTTGGTTATATCCTTGACAAGAAGGATCTTGTCATCAAGTGTGTACATACTCCTGACTATGAGTATCTGAACTATAATCTTGCAACAAACAAGGAGCTCAAAGTAATAATGTTGTTAGGAAGGGTTCCTTACTCCTATACTAGTCTTGTTAACAAGCTATAGAAGCTGAACATAAAGTGTAGAGTTGATAAGTTGCAGAAGTTTGGCTTTAGACTTAAGGTCCATACTGAATACAAGGTCCTTGTGTTTCTCATTTTACATGGCCTTGTTGTGTTCAACTACATTTCTGTAACAAAACTTAGCTGTCTTAACTGTTTCAATTTTGTCAAGTGTTACAACAAGATTACAGAGGCTATGAGCCTGCAGACATATCATTTGCACAGTTCACACATGCAGGCTTACCCTTGGATTGTACCACAGACTCCAATCACACTACAGATCCTAGAAGAAATGTACAAAGTTGTAGAAGATTACTTTTACAATCTTATAATACTGGATCAGCTGTATACTCTTTCTGAGAGTAGTTCTAGTAGTTTTGAAAAGAAGACATCTGTAAACATTGACTGGGCTAGGGTTCAGAAGGATACTCATAATTGGTAAGTGCTTTTTCTTTTCATTTTCATTTTCATTTCAACTATTACATTACTTACACTTATAATAGGTCTGTTCTACACTCTACCACTTTGACTAGGTATAAGTATTAATTTCAACTGCTTTCTTACTGTCCATTACTATGTACTTTCCTGCTTTCTACTACTATGTACTTTCTTACTGTCTACTGCTTGCTACCTATTACTGTGTAACAAATCTGATATTTTTGTATAAACTATATTTGTGTTCTCCTAAGATGAAACCAGGCTGAATTTACTTGCACATCCTACAGTAATATGTGTGTATCTAATGTCAGTTAACCATCCCTCCTGTAGATCCATTCAATTCACCTACACTAACTCAATTGTTGCCTTCTTCCAAACAAAAGGTACAACAGGAGCAGACTCCTAAGAGACTATTACAGCTGTATACTCTGCTTACCCCTCTAGTTACTCCTGTATCATCTACTTCTCTCACCAGCCATAGAGTGGACAATATTACTATGAATGAGACTTCTAGCACATTCACTACCCTAGCAAGAGGACTTGCAGCACCTCTGCCTACATTCTCATCTACTAGCCTTTTTGATAACTCACTCTCTACATCCACAATATCTCATATGGGTCCTCCCTCCCCTGTCACTGTTGGTCCTAACACTGGCATGAGTGCTGAACTGGGGGACCAGAATGGCCTACACTATCCTTACTGTAGTGTAGTTGTCTAATTCCACACTGTCTAGAGGGGGCACTAACAGAAGTGTTAGTAGATCTTTAGGAGTAGTAGGCTTGTCATGTAGTAAAAGAGACAATAATACTGTTAGTTTTGGTTAGTCATTCCTTACTACAGATTGTGATATTATGAATGGGAACTCTAGAGATTCTGACACAAGTGCAAATTCTGAAGGCAAAAGATCCTTACTTGTGAATACAAATAGAACCAAATGAACTTACAGTACTACTCTCCTTCCCTTTGTAGTCATGTGGAAATGTGAAAGGGCTTAGTCTGTGGTTCTTGACAACAGATGGTGTTGTCATTCTTGCCTTCTACAATTGTAGACAAGCTATTTAGGAATTGTCAGATTAACTTGACAGGACAGATATGTGGGTGTAGGCTTCACAGTAAGGAAATGGGAGCTGTTGCTTTGAAGCAAGCAGGATTCTAATACACATCTCCTCTCCCTTGATTGTGCTGTATAACCTAACCCAGCTGATGTGTGACTCAGGACTCATTGATGAGACTGAGTGTGAAGTTGCAGTTAGTGTGGACAGAAACATGAATGTGAACTTGAACTGTGTCTTTTTTGTATTAATACCTTGTGAAAAGTTACAGAATATTAAATCAATTAGCCTGCCAACCTCTGTAATATTATAACATGTCTTTTAATATATAATAACAATGATTTTAAGAGCTTACACATAATTTATAAGGCTTAGTTGTGTATGTTACAGAATTGTTTTTGTTTGAAATGGTGATTCTGTTAGTATCTGCTAGCTAAACTTGTAATGTATCAAATCAAGTAGCCAACTAATCTTCATGAGATTTGTACATAACATTCTATAGATAGTGGTAGAAATTTAGAGTGCCTAATTGTAATTTTTGGCAGTCAATTTTAGATACTACAGTTTTTACATATTCAGGACAGTTATTGTGAGTATCATCAAATAAGTATAGTTTTAGTTATATAAGTCCAAGTAATCATTCTTATCTCAATTTTTTTACAGATATATACTATAATAGTCAAAATATAATTTTTAAATATGTTATATACATGTACTATAACACTTTTGAGAAGTAATCTACAAATCTTTTGAATTTTAGTTGAGGTGAACATCTTGCAACACAAATCACATGATATATTGCCATTCTAAGAAATTATGCAAGTAGCAGTAATGAAGTCAGTAGCTTGTTGAGCTTGTTTGAAGCGAATGGAGAGGTAACGGTTATCATATGCAAAACGAACGGTGTAATTGGAAGCTACCATAGAAGAATATTCCATCTCATGCACTAGACGATCGAGAACCACCTTAGGTTGGTTTCCCCAATTTGCAGGGCCTAGGAGGACGTCGTGTGCTTGTAGAGAGGTCCCTGCAAGGTTAGGTATGGCAGGGGCGGTGCCACGCAGTGGAGGTAAGTGGGCAGTGGAGGGAGGAATGGTGGTAGAGATCGGAAGACCTGGAACTAGGGTAGAGGAGGGTCTTGGACGTTTTTGAGCGTGTGAGAGATCTGGCTCTTGTTGAGACAGTGTAGCCTGGTAAGAAAATGTTAGAGAAAGTAGGGAATGAAGATAGAGGAAACGAGAAGAAAAAAGCGGGGGCGGTGTGTCCTGTTCCCGTGCCATAAACTTCAATTATGTGTGTCAAATAATTAGAGCAGAACGTGTTGTTACTTACTTGAAAGAGCCAGTCGGACGCAACCCGAGCGCGAAAGGCAAAGACGCGCTTTGTACAAAGTCCACAAGAATCTCTTTATTACACCTCTCACAAAAAGTTTTATTGTAACTAACTAACGTCCCCTTAGACAGTCGTGCTTGTAGACCAAAGTACTACTTTATGTATTAGTGCTACATACAGCGAAATGTGTTGTCGTTTGGTCTCAAGGAGCTCACATGGTGAGACTGTGGTCTGTCTACTGCTACTAGTATGTACACTTCGCACAAAAATTTATTGAAATCCATTGCTTTTCAAGATTATAAGCTTTGTTGAATCAAATACTACTTCGTGTTTTGGTGTTACACAGAGCAAAATGCACTGTTGTATACTCGCAAGGAGCTGCAGTACCGACTTGTAACTTTCGGATGAAATCCGAACGCGTGCATATTTGTTAGTGCAGAGCGACAGCATAGACTGAGGTACTCTACGCTGTTAGGAATCTTCACCACATGTCATCTCTACACAAACACATTCCAAACTCCTGTATACGAATGTCGGCACCTTGCCGACGCGCGTCAAGGTCGAGTAAATGTCGGCACTGCGCCGACACGCCTCAGACCGCTGTCTAAGAACCAGGCTGCGTCAGGCTTCATTTACTCATGCACTTCACCTCAAATCAGATTAGTATCTCATGGGAAGGGAACATAGAATTGAGGCAATCAAAATATAGTTGCGGCATTTTTTATTTTCAATATATTACACGCATGGATCCAGCTATTGGCATGGTGTATAATTCTTTACAATAGTTACTTACAAAATCGCAAATGCTGTCCATGAGACTCATGAAATATCGTGTAAAGCGCATGTATATGTAGGGAAGTAAAATCCAATCAGCTAATAAAAAGGAAGACCTAATGCGGGAAGAAAGAAGGACTCAAGGAGTGACCTCAGAACAATACCGCCGCAATCTTCTGAGGAATAGTCCTGGGTGGCGTCTCTGGTACCTCAGTCTCCTCCATCGTCGGAATTCCAGTAACGAAATCCATCTCATGGGGTTTCCAAAACCTCGTACGCTTCACGATCTTGTACCCGAAATACAGAAGAAAGAATATCGGGATGTTGATGTATGCAACGAGGAAGTCTGACACGTTAAACCTGAAAAACACGTCGAATCCGTTGATAAGGATGAAGATGGTTGACCATATGGCGCCGTAGTAGGATAAGTATGGTTGAAGGACGCTATAATAGGCGCTTTTTGTACGGTCGAAGCCTTGTACCTTTTTGCCACGGTCTGGTTAAGTCAATGTTGAGAAACAGACGATGGCATAACAGACGAGAAAACAAAGAGAACACACAGAAGAAAACAAATGTCAAATTGATGGATAGCCAAGTGAAGAACCCAGCGACAGTAGTCAGATTAGCAAACCAACTAAAAATTGTTGCTCAGAATTCCAATTATAAGGGTTACAAGAAAGAAAGCAAACTCACTTAAAGACCTGCTCAGAGGAAGCCTGCACATTCATGAACGACAACAGCGTAAAACAGCTTGCACCAAATATAGCTGCAAGGGGCAGACCGTTCTTCGTGCAAAACGAGAAGATCCTCGGTGCCTGGCCGCGAACGGAAAGACCATAAAGAATTCGAGAAGAACAAAAGAGGAAGGAGTTCCCGGCGGAGAAGGCACTTGTGAGGACACCGGCATTGATGATTGATGGAAGGACTTTGATTCCTGCACGTGTAAATGCAATGACGAAGGGTGACGCTGCTGCGTTACCGACGTCTGAGAGTAACTGGCCGTCGGTGTATGGAACGAGGAGGCCGGTGACAAAAACACCCAATAACTGATTATAAGGACGATGAGACATTGCTGCCGGTTAAACATGGGAAGATGTACGCACATAGAATAACAGGATTCGATAGAAGACCCTTCGCACGGCTTTCGATATATTGCGCCTCGGACTCTCAGTCTCAGATGCTGCAATTGCAACGAGTTCCATTCCTTGGAACGATAATGCCGCCTGGATAAGCACGGAAATAAGCCCGAGGAAACGGCCTAGTCCGACTTTATCGGCTGAAACCAAGTCGGACTGCGCGAGAGCGCCAGGGTTCTTCCAGTACCGAAATCCAAGACGGTCATGATCCGGTCCACCGCCGAGGTCGACGACGACCCCAGTGATGATTAGTCCCACAATCAACAAAACTAAGAGATAGAAAGGTTAGAGTCGATGCGATAAGTGGAAAAATAATAATAAAGCGCTCACTTTTGATTATTGAGAAAAAGAATTCTGATTCTCCGAACCATCGTACGCCGAAGATATTGATCATGCACACGCATACACAAACAAGTGCAGTATAGATTGGCGAATGCGAAGGCTAACAAGAAAGGAAGAAAACAAAGACCATAAGAAACTTAAGCCAGTACGTCTCATTAAGACTAACATTCGGGTCCCAGAAAGTGATAATAATTTGAGCAGCCGTTATTTCAACAGGAACAGCAATCGCTTGGGACTGTACACGTAAGTCATAAGTTGAACATGTCATTTGGTATTGCCGACGAAATCATACGTAGAAATAATTCCACCCGACGGCAAAACCAAGTGCTGGATCTACCCATCGAGCGGCGAAATGAGGGAAAGTTCCGGAAATTGGCGCGTGCGCAGTCATTTCACCGACGGCACACAAAGATCTAATAGGATGAATGAGTATGCATTGCACAAGACGGTTGATACGTTAGTAGAAAAACCAACGAGTAAGCAACTGTTCCGACGATGCTGTATGCGATGAGAGCACCAAGAGGACCAGCCCCATGTAGCGCTTTCCCCGAACCAAGGAAGAGACCAGTGCCTAGTGTGCCAGCGATCTATTATCGGCGGCAGAGTCGGTTTCAGACGAATATTTTTTCCTTGAGGCAAAAATGTGTGAAGTGCGATGCTTACGGCGATCCTACAGACGTCAGGTGGTGAGTAGTTGGAGGATAGCCACATATGGAACACGACGTACATTTGTACATGTCGCTGTTTTAGTCGTCGTTGGACTCGATCAAGGTCAGCAGTGTCAAAGGTATATCGCACATCTTGAGCAGCTACACGTTTATTAGACGGGAGTTCGATGTATAAAACATTGTGAGTAGACGGACCAGCAGACGATGTTACAACATTAGCGTTAAGACCTTTCTCAAGAGAGATCTTGTCAATGCTTGTATCCTTCTCCTTTTCGTCGTACATGCTAGGCAGCGACGGTACTAACGCTAAGCAAAAAATTGTCCGTGTGAGGGAATATATGCACCAGGAGGGGATTGACAGGAAAGGAATCCACAGGTTTAAGGTCTTATGACAGTGTGCAGGCGAGCACGAGTGGTGCGGTGAATTTATATGTGACTGAGTCTGTCCGAAATCGCGCACAATATGACTCAAATGAAGACGAAGACGAAGATACTTGTAGAACTTGAGGTCAAAACTACCGAATCGTGTAGTCCGCATTAGGGGGGCAGCAAAGTAGACTTCTGTGCTTCCGAGAAGCACAAAACCCCTCGTGCTGGAGGTCAGGTACAGCGACAAGACCGGATGCAGACTTCATAACTCGCTCAACCCTTCTTTCCATGGTAAAGACTGGCAGCCTCGACTCACACTCCGAGGAAGATTTTCACTAAACGGACGCATTGTAGCAATGCTTGTAGAAGGATGGTGCCGTCCTAGCGAGGTATAATTCAAACTAGTACTTGATGATTTCGCAAAAGGTACGTGTACTCACCGTCTCTTGCCGCAATCCTTCGCAAATGTATGTCAGATTGACGCTCTGATACACGTGCTCAGATGATCTGCAGAAACTAGTTGAAAAGGTAACTGTAGGAAGCGGGGACGGATCATGGCACGCCCCAGAGAGCAAGAATTGCAAGATCCAAGTATAAAAGCAGTAAGCTTGTCCTAATGATCGCGTGTTCGCTTAAAGAATTTCACTATCGCAGCTTCGTCTTGACAATTGACTCTTCGTTTTGAATGCCGATTTGCACGGCCAACGAATAGGACCGATCCGAAAAGGAACCGCAACTACTGAATGTACTTTTATATTCTTAGAGATTCAGCAAATTAGTCTGGCGCATGTCAACCAATCAACATGACTCTTACTATTCTGACTATGAGGTTGGTCCCAGTTTGAAGAAACAAACGCCAGAAGTGCGTATGATCTGTATGGTGGTATATCTCATCTATGAAAAACATAAGGCAGTCAGTGGTGTGCACTTGTCAAGGACTCAGCAATTTTTGGAGACGTTCGTCGAAGGTGCAATTCCGAGGCGTCTGGATATTCATAAAGCAGACTGATACCGTTCGCTTATTGTCCCCGAGCAGTCCCTGTTTTCTCGACCCATTACTTTCATCCGCGAACCTCTACAGCGTGTTAAGTTGAATACGTGAGGGAAATAGTAAGCATTGACTCAAACAACAACACATGATACACTGACAAAATGCAAACTCCGCACCTCACCGAATCCAACGTGTTCAACGTGTCAAAACTTAATACTTAGAGAACTTCCTTGCACATCAATGGTCGATCCGAGGCGCAAACTGCTTCATTAAGCTTGCCGGTGAGCGTTGAAAGAGATTGAACGGTGTTGTAGGAGGAAATAAATTAAAAATTCATTCACGTTGTATACCGATACTTTTGTGCGCGCGGCTATTGATACAATCTGCACTGATCAACTTGCAGGACCCCAGTACGTATTCATTATCTGCTTATGCCATGACACTCGCCAACAAAGCCATGCGAACCTAGCAGACGAACTGAGTGAGACAACTATGCGAACTTTAAAGGAAATCGCTTACAAATAAGCCATAGCGCATCTGTCTGAAGTACACTGCTCTGCGTGAATCGAAATCGACTTCTGGATCAATTTCTATTCCGACGAAGTCTAATTAGCTTGGCTCTCATAGGGATCACAAGAACTCAAAACATACCGTTTACACGAGGCAGGGGGTGCATGACGATCATGTCTTCCTTCGCCCTTGACAACACCGAGTGGTCAATCCTGTACGCGTCCTTCACACGTATCCAGTCTTCTTCGTTTTCGAAGCGCTCCTTCTGAACACGCGTCACATAAAGAACGTCTGTCTCGGCAAGGACTTCCTCTAGCGAATCGCTGACACGAACGAATACGCCGGCTTTGCGGGCCGCATTGATTACGCTCTGCGGCATGGTAAGTGAAGGAGGGGCAACGAAGTTTAGGCGAACCGAATACAAGCAGAGAAGTGTTACGAGGCTGTGCACAGTTCGTCCGTTTTTAAGGTCACCCAGCAGGGTGATAGTACGCCCATTAACAGTACCCAGCTCAGACCGTATTGTATAGATATCCAACAAAGCCTAGGGTATGGTTATTAGATCAAGACATAACGCGATAACGAGGGGATTTTACCTGAGTAGGATGTTCACCAATACCGTCTCCCGCATTGATAATGGGAATAGGTGAAAATTTAGCCGCTGTTTGAGCGCTGCCAACATCCGGATGTCTCATGACGATCGCATCCGCGTAGCAACTAAGCGTTCGCACAGTGTCTTCTAGCGTCTCGCCTTTCTGGACCGAGGCTCGATCTGCGCTAACCTGCACAACTTCTCCACCGCACCGTTTCATTGCTGCATCGAATGACGCACTGGTACGCGTTGATGGTTCATAGAAAAGCGTACAGAGTACTTTGCCTTTTAGGATGTCTAAAGTACCATTCCGCTCGACTTGCAGGCGCATTTCATGTGCCAAACTAAAGAGATCGTGGATGTCTTGATGAGTGAACTGCTTGACCGACAAAATGTTTTTACGATGAAAGGACGGATGAGGCGTGAGAGGAGAAAAGACACGGGGAGCAGAAGCAATTGCCAATGCATTTGGGCTGGCTACTGCGGACATCAGAGGCACCGGTCCTTGGGAAGGAGGAAGAACTCCGTCCGTTGGTTTAAGGGTGAAGGCTGATGGTGCCAATACATGCTCCGTGGGAGGCGCTGGCCTACTGCTGCTGACGGACAATCTCCTCTCGAGGATAGAAGAGCGGTTTATTGTCGCGCTGGAGATGTCACGTCCCAAAGGCGCAGATAGTAAAGTTCCATCTAGGTAGACGGTCTGTCCATGGACAATGACCCTGCTTACCGCCCCGCTGACCCTTGACTTGTCCAGTGGAGACCACGAGTTGGACTTCCTCGTCGCAATGATAGACCGACGGTTCACTACAACTTCAACTTGAGTATGCGATTGATCTGGGAGACCGAATATCCTAATTGGATTGTCGTGCATGCGTTCGTGGATCGCCTCTAGACTGATTCTACCCTCTGAAACGGCAGTCAACAACAACGGAAGTGTATCTTGTATACCAATTGAAGCATCGACAGTCTCCTTAAGCTCTGAAGCTAACTCATAAGGTACGGTCCCGACAGAGAAAGCGTCAACGACATCAAGATGTTTCCAGAGTTTAGCTTGATCCTCCTTTGAAGGTAAACATTTGACTCCGCCGAAACTTTCAGACGCGTAGAAGAGGCAATATACGGAAACGTCACAGGTGACCTTCAGCTCCTTCGCTTTGCTCAATGAGATCAGTAAGAGGTCCTCTTTGCTGCGCACGTCAGTAACATGCACAGCGCGACCATGCAAACTGGCCAGCAGGAGCACGGATGCGAGATCCGAGCCTTTAGCGTCGGTAACAATGGGTTTGTCAGCTGGCCAAGAAGCAAAGTGAGATGCGACTACAGCAACCTGCTGGGACAAGGACCGTGCTCCGAAACGTGCACCGAATGGGATGAACAGCGACTTAGACTCTGCCTGAAGTTCGTCGTCCAGCGTCTGAACATTACTAGGGCAAGCGACCACACTGAACGCATAATTGCAATATGCAGAACCTGACGCAGTAGAGCGGGCGGCGTCGAGTGATATCGCATCAGTAATGTGAGAGGAAGTGCCGTACGGTAGAATCAATGCTGTCGTAAAGCCTCCACTTAATGAAGCCTTCGTTACGTCCTCTAGATCTGTCCCTGATGCCGAAATGAGTCCGGGTACGAATGACGATACGTTTACCAGCCCAGGGAAGGTGTGGACCTCATGCGAAGTCTTGTAGTCGACACTTGAGACTTCCTGTGACGACTTGCGAATGAGGGCTTCGGCAAGCAGCTTTGCGCATTTTATATTGTTCAGGAGGGGGACAGCGAAGTCAACGGCCATCCGACGTGTCCGGTATCCTTTACTCGTGTAACTGGCAGGACGACGGTAATTATTCTTTGAAGGAAGGTTGATGTACATGTCGATGAGGTTCTTCGCCAAATGTTCTGCCAGCGAATATTCCGACTTCTCATTTCCTTCATCCTCGAGCAGATCGAGGTACTGAATCATGCAGATAAATATCAGTTATAGTAAACGCACTCAGTAGACTAATACAAACCTTGCAAGGAACATGGTGCTCAGTGAGGAAGTCAGCTGTGCCTGACGTTGCGAAGATATTGTACCCTGCTGCTGCCAATCGCTGTACGGAAGGGAGAATTTCCATCTTCTCCTTGAAGCCACCAATCGAAAACAGGATGTTCTTCTTGGGAGGCCGAATACCGGAAGATATGAGAGCTTTCAAGTATGCTTCGTACTTGTCTCGGCCAAAGCAAGCAACTTCTCCAGTCGATGCCATTTCTACACCAAGCACAGGATCCGCACCTGACAAACGACTGAAGCTAAATTGAGCAACCTTGACTCCAACGTAATCCGGTGGTAGGTTCAAGTCCGGATATGACTCAACAGCGATTCCCATCATAACCTTGGTTGCCATTTCAATCGCATCAACGCCAGTAACTTTCGAGACGAAGGGAAATGAACGAGCAGCACGTAAGTTGCACTCAATGACCTTGATTTCATTGTTCTTTGCAATGAATTGGATATTAAAGGGGCCCGTGACGTTAAGTGCGTTTGCAATCTTAGCCGTTGCTTCTTCAATTCGTCGTACCGTCTCGGGATCTAGGTCTTGAGGCGGGAGAATGAGCGTAGCATCGCCTGAGTGAACCCCTGCATTCTCGACGTGCTCCGAGATGTAATGCATTACGAGTTTGCCGTTCTTTGCTACCGCGTCCATTTCAATCTCTTTGGCTTGTTCGATATATTTCGTGATGACGACGGGATGGTCGCGAGAAACAGCTGTAGCCTGTGTCAGATAGTTTGCGAGATCATCGGCAGAATAGACAACGTTCATCGCTGCACCCGAAAGCACGTATGATGGTCGAACAAGCACCGGAAAGTTGACTTTATCGCAGAACTCTTGAGCTGCGTCGAAACTCGTTAACTCCTTCCACAATGGCTGGTCGACACCGATCTTATCCAAGAGACGAGAGAACTTGTACCTGTTCTCCGCAGTATCGATCATTTCCGGGGAGGTGCCGTAAATATTAACATTCTCGCGATGAAGTGCCAGAGCAATATTGTTCGGCGTCTGGCCACCCATGGAAACGATGATCCCTCGAGATTGTTCCGTATCGTAGATATCCAGAATAGTTTCCAAGCTGATAGTCTCGAAGTAAAGTCGATCCGCTTCGTCATAGTCCGTACTGACGGTTTCCGGGTTGTAGTTTACCATGACGGTTTTGATGCCCTGATCGCGGAGCGTCCTGATAGCACGGACAGCACACCAGTCGAACTCGACAGAGGAGCCAATGCGATAAACACCAGACCCAAGTACCATAACACCATGGTCATCATAATTCACATCATGTTCGACAGCATTGTATGTCGTATACAGGTAGTTGGTAAATGCTGGGAACTCGGCAGCAACCGTATCAATCTGTTTAACGAACGGCGAGATCCCAAATTCTTGACGAAGACGACGAACAGCAAGTTCTGTAGACTTGACACAGAGAGCGAGCTGGCGATCCGAGAATCCTAACTGTTTAGCCTGTGTAAGGAGATTCTTGTTCAACGACGAAACGCTATAATCTCTGTAAAGTAAAATAAATAAGTACAGATTTACGATAGCAGTAGAGCATTAAAGGACTCACGAGAGATGCTGTTCCATATTATACAGATTCTGTAAGCGTGTCAAGAACCACTTATCAATGTTCGTCATCTGCCAAATCTTCTCGACGGAATAGCCTCTTGAGAACGCAGTGTGAATCGCGAAAATCCGCTTGTCTGTCGGGTTGAGAAGCTCGTCATCAATGTCTTCGACGACATCATTCTATGCCGTATGGTCCAAGATAAGTAAACAGCAATATCGTCGGTTGAAGCCAATCACCTTTGAGAAGCCTGGGAACTGATCGTCGATAGCACGAATAGCCTTCTGTATCGTTTCTTCGAACGTTCGACCTATTGCCATTACCTCGCCAACACTCTTCATGCTGCTGCTCAACAACTTGCTCACGCGGTTGAATTTCTTTAGGTCCCAGCGTGGAATCTTCACGACGACGTAGTCTAAGCTTGGCTCGAAGCATGCCGAGGTGACCTTCGTGACTGAGTTCTTGATTTCGTTGAGTGGAATATTGAGACCGAGTTTTGCCGCGATGAATGCGAGAGGATAGCCGGTTGCCTTTGAAGCGAGAGCAGATGACCGAGAGAGACGAGCATTGACCTGCAGAAATGTTCTAGCCTCGACTCATGAAAGAAATAGATAGCAAACACTAACTTCAATGATACAGTACTCTTTTGAGAATGGATTGAGTGCGTATTGTATATTGCATTCTCCAACGACTCCGAGATGCCGAATAACGTTGATCGCAGTCGTTCGCAGCATGTTGTAGTCCGCATCCGAAAGAGTTTGAGAAGGCGCTACGACAATCGAGTCGCCGGTATGGATGCCAAGAGGATCGAAGTTCTACAAAGACGATAAGTCACTTTAGACCACAGTGTAAGCGTAGAATTTCACGAACCTCCATATTACAAACAGTGATGCAGTTATCCCTGCAATCACGGACAACTTCGTATTCAATCTCCTTCCACCCTTTCATACTCTTTTCTACCAGTACCTGCGGGCTAGTTGCGAAGGCCTTGCTGCATAGTTCCCGTAGCTGACTCTCATCTTGAGCGAAGCCTGAGCCGAGACCACCAAGCGCGTATGCCGCGCGCACGATGACAGGATAACCGATAGACCTGGCAGCCTGACAGGCCTCCTCCACGTTTGTTGCAGTTGCACTTTGCGCACAACGCTCGCCAATCTGCGCCATCGCATCAGCGAACAACTGGCGGTCCTCCGTCATGATGATTGTGTCTATCTTCGTTCCAAGCACACGGACACCAAGTGATTCGAACTCGTCCTTGAGCGCAATACCGACGTTGAGCGCAGTCTGTCCACCAAACGTGACATAAATACCATCAGGGCGTTCATATTTAATAATTTTTCTAACGAAGTCTGGGGTGACTGGCAAGAAGTAGACTTTGTCCGCCAGCCCCTTCGAGGTTGCAATGGTTGCGATGTTTGGGTTAACAAGTATCGTGTAAATGCCTTCCTCCTTAAGTGCCTTGATCGCCTGTGAGCCTGAATAGTCGAATTCGCCTGCCTGCCCAATTGAAAGACCGCCAGAACCTAGAATCAGGACTTTCCGTACATCCGCGTGCGGCGTGCGTTTTTCATTTTCTTCCTTCGTTCCTCCAGGTATTTTCAACGGAACTAGCGATCCAGTGACCGCGCTATCCACAACGTTCTGAATAAATACGTCGAACAAGAACTCTGTATCGCGAGGACCGGGGGTAGACTCCGGATGGAACTGAACGGAGAAATATGGCTTGTCTGTACAATAGATGCCTTCATTGCTGCCATCGTTCGCATTCCTGAAAAGCTCCTTCCAGTTCGCTGGTAGTGAAGACGTATTGACCTGGAATCCGTGGTTCTGGCTTGTGATATAGCAGCGTCCACTCAAGGCGTCTGTGCATGGAATGTTGTGGCCCCTATTACCGTATTTCATTTTAGACGTAGACGCGCCAGCAGCAAGCGCGAGGAGCTGGTGTCCAAGACAAATACCGAAAATAGGCTGGGATGCATCGCTCATGGCTTTTCGTATTCGTTCTATTGTTTCTGGAACCATGGTGGGATCGCCCGGACCATTCGAAATGAATAAGCCGTCGAATGGTTCTTCTGTCGGAGCTAGGAAATCATAATTCCAAGGGACGACTTTCAGCTCAATTCCACGGTGAGTGAAACAGCGGATTTGGTTGAACTTCATTCCAACGTCAATGGCGATTACGCGGAATACTCTACCAGACGGGTGCATACGAGGTTTCCCGACGGGCTTGTACAGCTTCGGGGCGGAAATGGAAACGGCGACGACGAGATTCTCTTGATTTGGATCTTTGAAGTTAACGTCAATATAGTCCTCTCGCCAAGTCTGCATGTCCTGAGACTGAGCCCGTGACGACGGTTGATTGTCCGGCAAAAGAGAACGGAACCTGTCTTTTCCATTTATTGCAGACCGTTTAGCAAGGATTTTACCAAGCATAGAACCTTTCTCGCGAATTCGTTTGGTGAGCGCGCGAGTATCCACACCATAAATAGCGGGTACATCATTTTCCTTCAGCCAAGTTCCTAAAGACGAGTTTGCGAGATAGTGACTGAAGTCCTCAGAATAATATCCGACGACCAACGCGGCTACATGTATGCGCGAAGACTCGAAATCCGACGGCAAATCATCAAGAGACGGAGCAGTACGTTCCGGCACGCCGTAGTTTCCGACCAGAGGGTATGTCAGAATGAGAATTTGGCCTTCGTAAGAAGGGTCTGTCAAAGACTCCGTGTAGCCAACCATACCTAAAGAAATCATAATTTAATCAAAACGCGTATGAAAAATTGCAGAGGACTCACCGGTCTGGAAGACACATTCACCTGCGACGCTCTTGCCCGCCGCACCGAAACTGATTCCTTGAAATGCGCTTCCATCACTGAGTTCAAGCACCGCGCCGCCTTGCTCTGTAGGAGACACATGTCCATTCGGAATCGCGGCGCTTGCAGGTACAGTAGGGAACCCGTTGGTAGTTGTCGGCGTCCGAGAGACTGGCAGACGTGTAGACTGGGATTTCTGAGTGGCCATTGCTGTACAGATAATGAGACGAGATCTAGGTGAGTCTTCCTCTTCACTCGTGCCCTCGATGTGGTTTCGAGTGAAGAGGAAGAGGAGCTAAATTTTATTGTTGGCCGTGTTTATCGGGCGAGCCTTGTTCATCCGCCTTTAGACTGACTTTCCCACGACTGCTATAGTCCAAATTTTGAAATTTTGCCCATTTTTGAGCACTCGAACATCAGAAACCGTGTGCAGAGCTGGCAGCTTGTGTGTAATTTCCCAACCACCCGTTGGCGTGAAATTTGCTTCGTGGAACCGTAACCAATCCTATTCGACCAGATTTTGCCATTTGATATGGCTATAACTGAGCAGCCAGGTAGCTCCTCAGGAATTAAACAGCCGAGTCGACGAGGCCACTGGTGAACCGACGGTGCCATATCACATACTTCTACGTCGATTTAAGCTCATATGAGACATAATCGGGGAAATCTGAAGATTGCTGCCCTTCAGTCTGGCTTCTTTTAATCTTCGACCCTTCGCAGATCTGCTTACTCAGAAAGGCTGCGTGGATTCATTCACTCAAAACCATCAAAACTCAGATGATCTTGCCGAGGCTTGAGCGCTTGTAAATGAGGCGAATCAACTGCATGTGAGCATGGTGTTTGATATGATATCGAGTCACCGTGGACTCATTCCTCTAAAAGGAACGCTCTCTCACACTCCGAATCATACGCTCCGATTTGAGACGACGCATGGACATTGCTGGGCAGAGTAATTTCTTTATTGTAGATAAACTACCCTGTACTGTACAATAGACCAGCAGCCCTGGTGTTTCTTTTTAGGGACCTATGCCAGGAAATATACCATACCATACCATACCATGGTGATCACCAGGTGATTCTATACAACGTAGCAAGCCCCTTAAACGGGAGTTTTATTTCGTGAATCCCACCTGGTTGAATATACGCTAGGCTACTACGAATCCTGGAAGCCGACCATCCAAGATAACTACGTGAGATTTATCCATCTTTTGTCCACAACCGGAGTCAGGAGTACTCAAATTCGCACACGTAGGAAAGTAACGGTCTAAATAGCTTATTACGATAAGTTTTTACAGAGCATTCTCCGCAGTATCGTTTGACAAAGATATAGTTTACCCCAGAACGTATGAGAAGGGCCAGTTTCTACGATCATTTGTCCGCATGGAAATAATAGCAAAGTAACAGGTTAGAAATCTCACATACTAAGTGCCTAGCATCAACTCTTAGCTCTTTATGAATGAGCAGCTGGTGAGCACCTGCTCAATGCATCTCTGTCGCTGCTCTCAACTGCTTTCACAGCTTTGTACTCTTTAACAACCGTGGAAATTTGCAAACTCCAGTAGAAATGGAAACCTACCCGTGCATAGTAGGACGAGTTTTCGACAAATGAGCCAACATCTGGTTCTGTTCATATCTCTATTATTAATCAAAGTCACTACTACATCTTATCGACTCGTTAAACTCATGCATTGTGTTGATCATTCCCGTTCCCTTCAAGAGCAGAAAGGTCTTTAAGAACAGAGTCGAGTTTCTTAATAGACTCCTTCAATGATCTGACGGATTTGTCACACAGCTTGGCTTCTGCGCATCTTGTCTGGAGCACTTTCAATGCAGCCTTGTGATCTTCGAGCTTTCCCTTCTTCTCCCCTTCATTATTTCCACATCTTCTAATTTCTTTATCCACACGTTTGATAGCCCGTTTAATGTGCCAGCTTGTAACTGCTCTATTGGTCTTGAATAGATAGTAGATCTTGTTGATCTGCAACCTTGACAATTGAGGATGGTTTTCTACTACTATGACGCGTATGACAATTGTTTCTTCAACCAGTTCAACTTCAAGAGGAAGTTCAGGAATCTCGCTATCGGCCGACAAAACAGTCTGCTCATCTCGACCTGTTGTACTCTCGTGACGGCGATGTCCTGCAACATCGGCTGAGTCTCTTCTATTAGAATCCCTTCTCCCACTAGTAGTAGTCTCTTGTCTCTCAGCAGTACTCATGGCTTGCACTAGTGTTACTAGACTAATTTGCTGATGTGTTGTGCTGGAATTCTTGCTGGGACTTCTACTTGCAACAGAAAGGGGATGCATTATTCCTCTAAGCTGTCACCCCTTTATAACATTGGTGAGAGCAAAGTTTGCCACAGTACAACACCACATCAGATCTGATTAATGGTGCAATGTAATCATAATAATACATCCAGCCACATCATTTATGTTGTGAAACTGAATAATATAGTGCAAAGTGCAAACTAATAGTTATTGTTCCTTTTCTTGTACACTGGTGTCAAGGACTTTATTCAGAACAAGTAATACATATATTAACAATTTGTATTCAACTAGATTGAGTAAATAAATATCTTTGTTACACTAGTTGTGTAAGTATTACAGTAGTTAAAGGTCTAATAGTTGTTACAAGATACTAGTCACAGTCAATTTTCTCTATGTAAGTATTAATGTACTATAAATAAGGACTAGTGTTACTTAGAGATATTATGTGTGGCCTACTTTATACATTAACCATTAGAGTAATGATTGGACTTGTAACACTGTTACATCCTTAGTAGAATTCTAATAATCAGCTTATAAAGTATAATATAAAAAATGATTTTGTCTTAATATAGGTTACAATTAAGCAAAACTAATAGACTTTGATTGTGACTAGAGTTTATAACAGTAGTTAGCCTACTACTAGTTGCATTATCTTTGCAAACAAGCCAGACATTATACTACTAAGGAGATTAAGTAATATAATGTGTGAAAGCATAGTTATATACTTTCTTTGTATTAGTGTACATTTAAACAAGTTAATATGAATCTAATTAAGCTTTAAACACAATACTTTGCTAGTCTATTGTCTTAGAGAGCTCTACTGTGAAACTTTTATACACATTCTTGTACACTTACTTTACTAAATATTAATACTAATAATTACTCAATTATATTTATTTTACTTATTAATACTTTATAACTTGTAAAATTATAAGCTCTTACTCTAATAGTATACTGTATTAATTTACATTAATTATATATAGTAAGTTAAAATAACTAATATTATAGTAACAAGTAACTAAGTGTTTTAGTAAAGTGGTATTTCTTTTCTTAATTTAGTTAAGAAAAAAGTATTAGTACAAATTTTGATTTGTTAATTTTATAGTAAGAAATATATTTTGTAATATTACTGTTATACTTTTTCTCTAAGTAATACTATATATTCTTTATACTCTTGTAATTATATTTTTTAAAGTGTACAAAGTTATATATTATAAAGAGTAGTCTAAAACAATTATTAAGCTAAGATTATATACTTGTAAGCTTGGTAGCTTACCATATGTGAACAGCTACTAAAGGATAGTACCTTAATTTGGTAACATGTACTTATATAGAGTGTAGGGTATGGATTACTGATCAGTAATTATACTGGCCTTTTAGAGTGTAATGGTTGACACTACTGTACTAGTGTTGACAGAGGATTACATAATCACTGATCAAGGTTGGCAGTTCAATCCCTAGGGTGGGTTGAATAGGTCCAGCTCAAGGCTCTACCAGAAATGGTAACCTTTGAGACTCTATATAAGGAAAACTCACACTATAAAGTTTAGAAAGTGTGGAGGGGTATAAGCTTGGTAGCTTACTACATGTGAACAGCTACTAAAGGATAGTACCTCAATTTGGTAATATGTACTTTTATAGAGTGTAGGGTATGAATTACTGATTAGTAATTATACTAGCCTTTTAGTATAATGGTTAACACTACTGTACTAGTGTTGACAGAGGATTACAATACTTTATATAAGATAAAATTGTTTAAATCAAGTATACTGTTTATAACTTATTATTCTATTATACTTTATTACTTTTGTAAGTATTAGAACATTATGTCTGAATTTCTGTTTAGTTACATTAGTGTTAGCAACAGTGTAGAGGGGACCTGAAGGCTCAGTAAGGGGACTCAGACTATAACTATTCTACACAATAGAAATATAGAACACAAGTACTAGAATGTAGTCAGAACTTGTAAAACAGACAGAGAGAGAGAGTGAGACAAGAGTAGAGTATATAGAGTAAGCCTAAGAGTACAGGACTATCTAGAGTAGATAAGATTAAGACTATAGAACTAGTCTGATCTTGTATACCTATATATACTAAACTATATAAGAGTACTTAGAGAGTATGAGCTATTAAGAATAATAAGTTATGAAGGATGAAAGAAAGGAAGGTCAAAGATAAAGGTACAAAGAATGAAGGGATGAACAAAGGGTAAGAGACTATAGAATGAACAAGGAATGAAAGGGTGGTCAAAGGAATAGAATAATAAAGTAAGGAGGGGTAGTAGTAAGAGTTAGTATGTATATAGTTTATAAACAGTACTCTTAAGGGATGAAAGTCCTGAGTTCTAGTATAGAAAGGTGTAGAACCCTTAGAACTAAAGGTATGAGAGTAGAGAACTGTAACATTACCCCCTCTCTAAAACCAATCATCCTGATTAGTGAATATTAGGTTTGGTTAACAGTTTAAGTATAGGTTAGAACAGTAGGACTTAGAAATCTGTAAGACTGAGTTTGTACAGAGTACTAGAATGAAGCTAATAAAAGTCTTAGATTGTCTTAAGAGTATGAGTAAGGTTCTTGGCAGGTTCCTAAGTGTACTCTTCAACTGGGTACCCTTTCTAGTAAACAAGGAATTTGAGTTTTCTGTATAATAGCTTAGTATTTACTATATACTCTACTTTGTATTCTGGTTCAGAACTGATGAGTTCTGGTAGAGGTAGTAGGAGTCTTTATTGTAAAGGAAAACCTGGATCATAGTACTGAGTTAATAGAGCCTTATTAAACACTAGGTGTATGTACTTCTATATTGTTAAAAGTTAGAGTTTGTAAACAAAGGTACTAACCTTCTTTTTAATGACAAAGAGTCTAAAGTACTTGTTGTCCAACTTCTTTATTAGGCAATCTAAGGTCAGATTAGTAGCTTCTAGTATAACTTTGTTACTAGGCTAGTAATTCTTGACTGTAGACCTCTTCTAATTATAGTTCTACTTTATAACCTGTACTACCTTCTCTAAAAGAGCTTATGTATCCTCCCTAGTCTTGTGTATCTGTTTTATAAAGTCTGTTATAGATTCAGAACTACTATTCTGGTTTAGAACTGTCCTCTAGTACAGATGTCTCTCATAGTTGAGAAAGAACAGAGACTGTCCTGTTGTAGAGTGTTACTAGTTATTGTATACAAATTCTGCTAGTACTAACTATTCAGACTAGTCTGACTACTAATAATTAATAAACATTTAGAGATAGAGCTTGATCTCCTAATTAACTTACTCAGTTTAACTATTAGTCTGTAAGTAATATATAGTAGAAGGGTTCCCTTGAATTCTAAGAAGTGTATATAAGTCCTACATGAATTTTGACTTGAATTATAGTCTACAATTGTAAATAAGCTTCTGAGAGAGTTTGTGTAACTGAAAGATGTGATTCTAATAAATGTACACTATACCTTTAGAAGTGAGTTCTGTTCAGGTTAGAACTGTATAGACTTGTTTAGAGAATTAGTTAACAATTATATAAATAGTATTGTAACTCTAAGACTTAGGTAACTTACTAATCAGGTCTACTAAGACTTCCTCTTAAGAGTAATCCAGGATCTAATACAGATGTAGGAGAGCCTGAACTCTTGTCTGGTAGGCCTTAGTCTGTTAGTACATATTATAACTAGTTACATACTTTAGAATTTCTCTCTATATTCCTAGCTACTAGTAGTTCTAAGTGATCAGTTCCTGTGTTTTATATTAGCCTAAATGTTCTATAGTTAGATTATTGTAATAAGCTTAAATAATGTCCTCCTACAGTTTCTGATCCTTTAGAACATACAGTTAGTCTTCCTAGTAAACCTATCCATCCTTATCCTCCTTCTAGTCCCTAGCCTGCTTCTCTAGTTACTTTACTATAACCTAGTCCTGTGTGTGTCTTAGAGCTTACTATATATAAGTAACAAAGTTAACATCCTTGGATTTGAGTTGGATCTCTTAGATTGTCTTAGATGTGAAATAGGAATTGTTTAGAAGAACAAGATTTTTGTTATTATTCTCCCCTCTTTTATAACCTACTTGTCTTAAGAGTAAATTAGCTTTTGTCATTTGTGTTCTAGGTTTGTAAGTTAGTACAAAGTTATAGTCTTATAGTTCTAACATTTAGTAGGCCTGACAGTAGTTGAGCTTCTAAGGTGCCTGGAAGTACTAGAGATTAAGGTGATTACTCTAAATCTTGAACTTCTGTATAGTACTAAGAAGATATTAACACTACTCCTCTAGAGAACAGACAATTGTAAGGAGTTTCTTATTATAGATAGGGTAGTTCTGTTCTGTTGTAGAGAGGGATTCTGATCAGAACACTATCAGACACTACTTTCTATTAATGAACTAGGACAGTACTACTCTATTTACAAAGTTGAAAGAGTTAGTTTCAACTTAGAACTTGTCTACAACTGTTAGAACTACTAATATAGGCTTACTAATAATAGCCTACTTGAGAGACTTAAACACAGACTACTACTAATCACTCTATTACTAATGGACATCTTTGCTAGTAAGATTGTTAAGGGGCTGGGCAATAGTACTAAAGCCTCAAATAAAGTATTAGTAGTAGTTTACAAACCTAAGAAACACTTAGACCTGTTTCAGGTTCTAAGATTGTAGCTAGTTCTGAACTATAGTTACCTTTACTAGATTTATACAGACCTCTCCTCTACTGATTACAAAGCCCAGATAATCTACTGACTCCTGTACAAAAGAACACTTTACTTCTTAGAGGAACAGTTTATTATTTTAGAGCTACTATAGAACTACTCAGATTAGTTAGTAATAGTACTTAACTGTTTAGGTGAAGATCAGAATGTTGTCCAGATACACACTAACATACTCTAAGTTAATCAGATCTGTAAGGATATAATTCATAAATGATTAGAACATTATAGACAAGTTAGTTAGTTTAAAGAACATTATA